AAACACAGAACTCACGTCGGGTGTAGCAAAGTAACCTGAGCATTTATATTTGAATTCCTTCCTCCAAATTCATTTGAATCCAGCAACTTAAGTCCCAAGGAGGCGGGAGCTGAGAGCCCCCTGTGCAGAGAGGGACAGTCCATCACATGGACAGCTGGGCGTAAGATGCAGCAGGAATAGCAGACACTAAACAGCACAACCAAGTCCAGGTAGTCCTCGACTTACGACCACAATTGAGCCCAACATTTATGCTGCTAAGTGAGACATTTGTTGAGTGGATTTTTCCCCATTTTGTTACCTTTCTTGCCACCCTTGTTAAGTTAGTAACATTGTTGTTAAGGGAATCTGGCTTTTCCGTTGACTTTGTTGCCAGAATGTCACAAAGGGGGGCCATCCCAGGACACTGCAATGGTCACAAATGTGGGTCAGTTGCCAAGTGTCTGGATTTTGATCACGTGACTAGGGGGATGCTGCGAACGTCTTCACGTATTAAAAACGGTCATCTTTTTTTCCGTCCTGTTATAACTTTGTAAGGCCACTAAATGAACTGTTGTAAGTCCTGCAGCTGGTATTGTGTACAGGAATATCTGCACAGGATACAGGTGAGACCAGGAGTGGACAATTTTGCCAAGGGGCCACATGAGAAACTGGAACTGTTGCGAAGGGCTGAACCTGAACTGACGTCCTCAAACTCCATCAGCCCAACTCCTCAGGCTGCTCCAGGCAAAGGACGAAGGAGTAGAATGCCATCTCCTCTCTTTGCCCTCCTATGGCCTCCAGCCGACTGAAGGAGCACACCGTGATTGTGCAGAGCCTCTCTCAGCTTCCTCTGCCGCTTATCTTATTTGTAATCTCTGATTGACCTCAAATGGGCCCGAGGGGAGCAGCCACAGGGCCAGATGGCAGCCCCAGGGCTGTAATATGTTCAGGTCCGAGCCACTCCTTTCCAAGTCCCACTGGGAGATTCCAGAGAAGATCATAGGGAATAAGAGAGAGAAGATCCTGAGGAATTTTATACCTAGGGAGGCAGAGAGGTACTGGCGAAACAACTAGACATCATGGTAGCAGACAGGGAGCAGAAGACACCAATAGTTGCTAGATGTAGCTTCACAAAGAAGGGGAATGAGAAGCTGGAGAGATAATGAGAGCCTGGAGAGGATGTGGGAAGTAAAGACCAAAGTGGTCCCAGTGGTGGTGAGAACATTCAGGGCTGTGACTTCTAAGCTGGAAGGGAGGCTCCAACACATCCTCGGAGCAACCTCGGGGCTGTCTGCCCAGTGCATTGTTAGGAGCAGCTGAGGTGCTGTGCAATACTCTCAAACTCCCAGTTTTCTGATAAAGGTCAACCTGAGGTTGACCACCCATAACGGTGAGAAGGGAATTATTATGTATGAAATATGATAATCTGCAAGTCAAAAAGTGTGTGAAAAATCTGGAATATTAGAAATGTTTCAGATATAGCAGAGCACCCCCTTTCGGACTGTGATTTTACATGGGTTTACACTCCTATTCAACTGAAATATATTGTTACTAAACTTTTAAGTGGGTATATAAAAGATTACAGCTCTTACAGTTTATGTTTCACATTAAACCACTAAACAAATACATATTTTATCCTTTCTCTAGTCTAAAACCTTTATGTGTTCCTGGCAAGGAGAAAGTCTGTGTTTCACCTTAGATTTTGCTGTGGGATTCACATGTTTTGACAATAAAACAAAGGTAAGTAATATCAGAAAATAACATATAAAATATGTTATGCTATTACTTTAGGAAATATCAATTTCTAGAGTGGGAAAAATTCTGATTTTCATATTTCAAAAGGTGGAAGATTAGAAACTGAGCTGTGTTTTCATTGAGTAAAGAGAAAGGCACTCTATGAGTAGATTGGAAAAAACCTGGTTCTTCAGAATCTATGGCTCTGCTGCTCCTATGACTCACTTTGAGAATTAGGAAAATGTCTACCTGATCTATGCTTGTTTCTCACAGAGAAAATAATTATTATAAGAGGGGGAAACTTCTTTCTTTCTTTTCAGTTATTCCCATCTGCCTTCAAAAATTTCTCCCATTCATCACAACAGCTCAATGTATGGATTAAAATGCATCTCTAGAAAGAACATGATATTGAACAATTGCATAGTGAAGAAAGTTCTAAAATGTTTGAACAAAAAAATCAGACTGGCTGTTTTCCAACATGGATATAGTGGGGGGAAATCATTTGAAAGATAATAAATGTATAATACTACATTTTAAAAGCTTTTGCAAACATTACTGGATATATTTAAACAAAGCATTGGATTTAAAAACTGCAAATTTAATTTAAAGGGAGAACACTTGACTTAAATCAAATTAGCCAATTCACTTTCATTTCCAAAGAAATTATTACCTCTCTAATACCTTTCTCAATGTTTAACCATGGAACAGTACGTTTGATCAATAAAATACTTCTTTGACTAAATCAATTTATTAGACAAGTCTATGAAATGCTGAATCATAGCAAGCAAGTTCATATTCTTTCATGAATATAAAGAACAGAACTTTAAATCTAGAAATCCATTAAAATAGATGGAAAAGTAAAGGACTTACTACTATTGTATAATTTATTTAGTACTATAAACATAAATATGTGAAACTGCTTAGTCTATTATATATGCCATGTAAATGTTTACAACAAAATATTTCTGGGAATATACAAAGCATAGACATTGGTCTTATTCAAATTAAACTGAAGCCAGATGTTTATCTAAGCTGTGATGCTGTTCTGTAGTGGGGCTGAATACCAACATGTTGTAGTAATTTTTATTATGTTCATTGACTAAAATTGTGAAAGTTAATAAATAATTGAGCAGTTTCTGATAAAATAAAATACCAGCTTAAACATATAATTATAACTAAGATGACTGGAGTTTATATTTAGAGCAGGACAATCATTTTGACTTCCTGATTACTAAGTGATTTGAACTGATTTTCATTAGAATTGGTTGGTTGGTTGGTTGGTTGGTTGGTTGGTTGGTTGGTTGGTTGGTTGGAGCTCAAGTTGCGCAGCCATACAGATTTGAAAAATAAATAATCAGCAAGACCTATCATATGTTGCAAACAGTATTTACCACATTCACGGAAATAGGAACATACTGGGATAGTAGGAGTAGTAACTGCATAAAATGAATCACAATTGTCTGGGAACATCATCAAATGAGTTATGAAGTGTGCCCTGGCATCGTTAGAGAAACTGCGACATAACACAAAATGGGTTGTGGTTTCTGTGGCTGCTTCTCCACAAGTGAAACAATCTTAGCCCTTTGGGAAATTATTTATACCTGCCTTTGAGATGTTGGGAGGGTATGAAGACATGCTGATCAGTGGTCAGTTTTTTTTTTATTACCGGTTCTGTGGGTGTAGCTTGGTGGGCATGGCTTGGTGGGCGTGGAAGGATACTGTAAAATCTCTATTCCCACCCCATTCCAGTGGAAGGTTACTGCAAAATCCCCATTTTCTCCTGAGACTCGGGAGGCAGAGAGTAGATGGGGACAGGGCCAGTCGAAGGTGGTGTTTGCCAATTCTCCAAACTACTCAAAATTTCCACTACCAGTTCTCCAGAACTGGTCAGAACCTACTGAATCCCACCTCTGATGCTGATGTTTGAAATGTGGGGTGTTAATGGGTTTAAACACTTTGCTGGCTTAAAAAAAGGCTTTTGATTACTCAGAAAGACATTTCTAGACAAGGAAGACTGGTCCAATTGGCCTCTTCAGGCTCTAATACTTTGCTTGGCTACAGTAAGTGCATGATCATAAACCATCATCAAAATATCAAATCATCAATTTTTTTTAAGAAGCCATAAAATTGACGTTTTTGCAAGGATGATCTTTTCTATATTGATTCATAATTAGTGTCCACATGCAAAGATCACAGATCTTCTAACTTCTAAAGCTACAACTTTAGCCAATGGGCAAAAATGTTAAGAATTCTCCATTTCCTTGCAGAAGATTCTCTGGAGATTTAAATTCTCTCAGCTCAAGGGGTCATCAGACGATGGAAAAACTCGAGTTAAACTGCTTTTTCAGAACATTGAAACAAAACAGATTGAGACAAAGGTGGGTACCATACTTTGCTGCATATATAGAATATATACTGTAGACATAGAAAATATATCAAGGTAATCTAGGTTTATAGTTCATATTGCAGAGGAAATCTATAGCATGGTTTCTCTTTATTTCCACACAAAGTGAATTACCAATAACGAATCAGCATTGTTCTCGTATTTATTATGTCTTATTGTATTGAGCTGAACTATTGATGTGACAGACATTTCCATTTTCAGTCCAAGTTATAACTGCTCGTGTCGTGTCACTTGTTAGGCTGGGAACAGGTGTGCTTATTTACACGTATATGATACACTCTCACATTTGCACGTGCACATGCACACATCCCCTCATTTCCCCTCCAAGTGATAGTAAGTGGAGCCGGTGCTGGACGAAGCCATGAGATTCCATAGCTTTTCTTCCTGGCGATTCTGCCTTTCCACTCCATTGCCCTTCTGTTCTTCTGCTCCAGCTATTTTCTAAATCAACATTTGAGAGAGTTGATTGGCTGGTTGGCCAGCAAAAATAATGATAATTTAAATTTTCTATGAGCCACTTTTTTTATTTTTCAGACATAGTCGGTCAATGGTCTATGGACCTTCAATCTGTAGGTAAACAAAATATTATGCAGGTGAATATTTCGTTCAAGAGTTTTACAATTTACCAATGTACCTAACTGGTAAATTAATGTATTCATAATCTACTTCACAAACTATTCCTATTGAAATTTATACAGATGTTTTCTTTTTCCTAAGTAATTTGAGATTATTCTCTCGCTGCACAAATTGTGCAAATATAGGCACAGTAACTTTATGGTGATGCCAGGAAAAGGTTGATTAAGCAATCTGATGGGCAGAGTTTTCTAATTTTCATATTCTTTTTTTTAATTCAAAAACTGCTAGAATGTGAGGAAAAGTAAGGTGGATAACTTGAATATTTATTATTAATGCAGTTTGTACTGTCATAATGGCCAAGCTTGTGATGGATAGCAAAGTGTAGCCAATAATGAGAAGCAAAATAATGAAATCAAACAAGACGAACTTCATTCCCCTTCTAGCAAATGTCAGAAGAACAAAGCAGATGCTCTTGTAATAATTGTTCCCACATTTTGTAATGGGTCATTTAAGTTGTAAGACTGTAGGAACAAAGTAGACGAAGTAGAACCTTCTACCAAAATTTGTTTCTTATTTCTTCTTCCAGCCATATAGAGAGCATACCCCAACCCCCCCCTCCCCAAAAAACCCCTCAAAAGGTTCCCAGCTTCTCTTAGAACCTGGAAACATTCCTAGGCTTCTATTTCCCTTGGACATAACTTTTAATAGTCTTTTATTACGACAGTATTAGATAATATTTATTCTATTGTTAAGATTCCTGCAAAAAAAAATCCATTAAACAGCAGAAACTGCCCAAAGGAAGAAATATCTTACAAAGCATAACTCCTGAACATTATGCTACCTTTGAGTGAAGTTGTAAAATCATAGGGGGAGAAATCAATATCCCAGTGAGATATTGGGCTGATCCTGTGGAAGGAAGAAACAGACTGCGGACTCTCAGTTCAGCTTCAGACAAATGACACTCTTAGATTAGGACAAATAAATCAACCAAAGGTCTCAATGGGGCGGCAATTTGGGGTTAGAGGGAACATAATTTCCAGGGAGCTGGCTCCCTGAAAATGCCAAAAACATTTCCTTATCTCTGGCCGAGTTCTTCTAGCACTTGCTACTCAGGCAGGAGGGTTAAAAAAGCTGGAGAAAAGAAATTCATCTCCATTTGGAGATTTTTTTTTTTAAAGGAAAATTCCTCCAGTCAAAAGAGATTTCCTTTCCCTCTAATAAGGAAGGCCATTGTATATATGGACCGAGGCTGTTTCTTATAAACTGGTCCATAACTGGGTTGAGTGGTGCTTTAATTTTTATCAGCACTGTTCCATGTCGGTTTCATGGGAAGCATCGTTTTCCAATATTCCCTAAGCAGGTATGGATAGGACTATTTTGCAGTGAGATTTCAGTTGAGAAACTGCAGTCCGACAATTAATGGACCTGGTTGACTTAAAAGGAAGCTTACTGTAAGTTTTCATATACAGAAGTTAAACACAGTTATTAGGGAACAAACTGTCATTATTGACAATAATAGTTCAATTTTCATTAAAAAAAATAATATTCCTAAATGTACTGTGCATCACTATACAGTGTTTCTTTCATTACAAGGGGAGCCTATTTTAAGAGTATTAAACTATCCCCCTCCCCCGAACCTTCTTAATAGCTCACTCTAGTATGATGAGGAACCATTGATACACAGTTTTTAAGGATGACTTTTAAGCCACCTTGGATTCAGCTTTGGCATTCAGTCAGTGGTGGGTTTCAAAAAACTTTGGAACCTCTTCTGTAGGTGTGGCCTGCTTCCCGGTTCCACTGGTGGAACCTCTTCTAACCGGTTCGGTAGATTTGACGAACTGGTTCTACCGAATAGGTGCGAACTGGTAGGAACCCACCTAGGCATTCAGTCCATATTTAAGTAATTTGCTCCTCAGAATGTAATGAGGATACTTCATCAAATTCATAACATGCCAACAATCTATTAGGAAAGTTATTGAAACAATGAAATTAAAGTAAGATTTTGTCCCAAGAAGTCCCAACAGTTATTTTAGAAAATGGGAAAAATGTGCTTAGAAAAAGTCTTCCCAAGAATGAATAAGGACTCATAAAAACTCTGTCTGGGTACTTTTGAAACTGTTCAGCTGTGTCATCTCAGAGGAATCTTCACCATATCTAAAAGATGGCTTTGAGCAAAATCTGGTGGTGGCCATTCATGTTCCAAGATTGCTAATTATGTCAGAATACATGTTGACTTTTTTTTTTAATAATCCAATGGAAAATTTCTTCATTTCAGATGTTACTTCAGGAGATATTTAGTGGCAGGACTTGTGAGGTGATATTCCTTCTTTAGCTCTACGTCTCCAACAAAATGTTTTTCCTTCCTTTATTCACACAGTTAAACAGAGAAGGAGTTTAGCGTAGTAAAATAATATAATGAGCCTTTTTCAACAAGATATTCAAAGTGCAGAATTTTGAGTCTGTGTGTTTTGGGGGGAGGGTTCCTTTTTGCACATTTATCACAATTGATAAATTCAAACCACAACAGCAGAGTAAATTAAATTCTTCTCATATTGTTCCCACTACATCAAATCAATTACCTTGAGCATTAAAACACTGACATGACATTTTCAAGTGAGAAGATATATATTAAAGAAGCCATGTTAAACTAGAAAGCGTAATAACCTGTAGAAAAAAATATTAGTGATTTTTTTTTGTTTCACCTTTTCTGTTTTTCTTATTTTCATTTCAGGAACTGGAATTTCAGGATTTGACAGCAGTTTTAAACTGCATCCATTCATTTATAGCTGCTAAAGTTGCATCGGTGGATCCAACATTTATAGACAGCCAATTCATTGCAAGGAAATATACTTACAGTAATTAAGAGAACAATGTGTTGTGATTATAACAGATAAATTATTTTCTTAAAGAAAAAAATATTTCATGTGCACTATTACAATTCCATGTAATTTTATAACAGATCTATAGTTGTATTATTATCAATAAAAGATACTAGTTTTCACATTTGATTCATCATTATTAAAGCTGATGAGTTAAGTTTTTATTCAAACTGAATCAGTTTATTGCCTAGCACCTGAAAGGATATATTCTTAATATTATATGCCCCAACACTGGAAGTCTTTAAGAAAATGCTGGATAGCCATTTGTCTGAAACGGTATAGGGTTTCCTGCCAAGGCAGGGGGTTGGACTGGAAGACCTCCAAGGTCCCTTCCAACTCTGCTATTGTATTGTATTATATAATAACTTGTAATCTTATTTTAAAACTTTTTATCAAGCATTATTCATTTAACAATTTACTTGAGAATAAGAATTTTCTTAAATGCTACAAATATATTTGGAGACACATCTGAGCTTTGTTTATAATGACTCACTTGATTAGGTTAATGGATTTTAAATTCAAGGTGAACTTTAAAAAATTATTTTGCTTTTCTAGATTTTGCTAAACTAAATTCAACAGATTCATACTTCTATATCAGTAAATAGATATGCAGTAGGTATGATTTTATAACTTGATATTTCATTTAAAGCTGCAATGTTTTGATCACTTACTTATAATTAAATTTATATATTTATAAATATATAATTTATATAAATTTATATGTTTATATTAAATAGAGTTTACTTCTGAATAAACATGTGTAGAATTAAACTGTATAATAACATGCAGTGCTAACAGTACACAGTTATCTATTTTTTTGTGAATTAAGTTTCCACAATTTCATTAAAAGGGAAAAAAAACAATAGGAATTTTGAACAACACTAGGAAGAGAACATTTTTAGCTGAAGAAAGCCCCTAAAATAGGATGCTGGGGTAGAATGAAATAGTGAATGGCACTAGGCCAAACATTAAACTTTAATTCACTAACATTAGCTTGTTAAATTCAAGCAGTTGGTTGTTCCTTGTTAATAATTTCCTTGTTCCCAATTTCACATTAAAACTGCAACTTAACCAAATATTTTTCTGGGACTTTGGGGAATGTTCAAAGGCTGTGAGAGGGTTTCTGTGTGACCCTGAGGTTGCAGTTTCTGTATCCTATTCTATCTCATTGTTCATATTTGTTCATGTTAATTTCTGTTTTGCTTAACTATTTAATTTTACATTTAAGGAAAGTATTCACTCAAAGATCATTCATATAATTAAACCTGGCTTCCCTTAGCAGTTTATTAGAAAGAGATGATAATCTCCATTTCCCACAGATGGATTCCTCCAGGTTATTAGTAACATTACATCAGCCACAATACTCCACAATTATCAAGCTTCATATCTAATAATAAAATCATACTTACTCCAAGAACATGATTGGAGCTTAAATTGGCCAGTTTAACCCAATTGCCATTCTACATTATTTTAAATCCTAATATATAGAAAAGCAGCTTAAATTTTAAAATATGTTTGTGCTACGTATTGCTTTAGAATTTGTCAACAGTTCTATAAATCTAGAGCAGGGGTCCTCAAACTTTTTAAGCAGGTGGCCAATTCATGGTCCTTAAGACTGTTGGGGGACTGGACTATATAGTTTGATCTGCCTAATGACCGGCTGGTGGGTGTAGCTAGAAGGGCATGTGACTGGGTGGGTGTGACTAGATGGTCATGTGACTGGGTGGGCGTGGCCAATTTGGCAGCTCATTTTGCCTTTGCCCCTCCTAAGCTGTACTTGCTCAACCCAAGGCGTCTATTTATTTAATAAGACCCCCTTATTAAAAGAAAAAGAGCTTGCCACTAGCCTAACTTCATTGCAACAGCAGCTTTAGGTTCCTTAAAATAGGCCATTAAAAAAAGAATAAAACCAAAACAGGACTTCCTTCAAAATAGGTCCTGATCATGTGTTTCAGAAGACCACACAATAAATCAGACTGAGAACTGCACCAATTAAGACTGTAACTAAAACCCCCAAGATTTGGGAAAGGGAACCACTCTAAAATCCATTAGCATTGCATTTCTCTGACTGCGCCCTATACCTTTACCTTATATATTGTAAATTGATTTATGATGCATTTAACTCACGGAATAACCTTTTGTTACTATTTTCAGCAATATTAATCTGAATGTCTTACTTTATTTAAAACGAACAGATTTTAAATTATATAAACCCCATTGAGATCCTCTGTAGACAGACAAACACAAACCCCACCAATTTGCTCTCTCTCACACAGACACCCCCAATCTGCTTTGAAAGGTAAATATTATATATAAAGTAAATGTTTCAGGCAATACCTTAATGCTGATTAAATCTGAAAGAGGCCAAATCAGGAGGACTGACCAGAAAGTGACTCCCTGGTACCTAAGGACAGGTCCTCCTCAAGTTTCATTTAGGATTGGAGGGGTGACGGAAAGAGAAGAAAAGCTTTTAAGTTAAATAGGCTTACTCTGGTAATTACACAGCTAAGCAATTTAGGTTCCAGAACACAGGCAATGAAACAACAACCACAGCCACAACAACCCTCCCGCGGCCTCCTCCTCCTCCTCCTCCTCTCCCAGACGGCTGCTTCCGAACGAAAGAAGGCTAGCAGTTGAGCAGGGAGGCCAGAGGGGGAGAGATCAGAGGGCATCCAGTCGATTTCAGCTCCCCCTTTTCGTTCCTTCCTTCCTTGGCACTTTATCTTATAAAGGATTTCAAATATTATGAACTTAACAGTTTTTATATGAACTCTGCAAAAATATGTTTCCAAAAATTGTAAAATAGGGAGGAGTGTTATGCAGTGAGTTGGAGGAAAGAGTAAAGTAGTAGTGTGAACACTATCTAGTAATTTGATGGCGGAAGAGACATCTTAGCCAAAGATTTCTAGCCTATTTCATAACCACCATAGCACATAAAGTGAGTACTAAGCAATTGATTTAATAAGAATTTACTTCTGGATTTACAGGGATTAGGCTAATTATACTCTTCTTTAGAGGTCAGGAAGACATTTTTTTATGACCAAAGAGAGCACTTTTTAATCGGAGGAATTTTACCCACCAAGAATTGGTGTTAGTAGAGGTGCAATGTTATGATGTGATTGGAAAGTTGGGGCCGAATTTCCTGTTTCTTTTTCTTTTTTCTTTGTGTTTGTTTGTGTGTTTGTGTTATAGACATTTTAAAGCTATTTCAACTTTAATACACTTCGTTTTATTTGGTTACCCCAGAAAAAAAAATCATTTGGAAATTACATAGTCTGTACTGAGTGCCTTGCAGACATATTTCAACAGTGGAATATATAGAAGAAAATCCAATGAACCATTTGTGGCACTCAGATTGCCCATCTCTGATTTAAATCAGGCATTTTTTGCTAGAAGACAGCTTTGTATACAGTTAAGAAACCCCCACCCACCCCCAGCCTTAAAAAGTCTAGGGTGTTCCTGCGAAACAGCAGAATTATTAAAGAACACGAATTGTGATTCCCTGCTTCATTTTTAGTTTTGTACAATTCATTGTGTCCGATAGTAAATGAGGATTTGCTAGATGCCATTAAAATAAAGGAAAGTAGAATTGAATTAATTTGAATGAAATAGAATCCATATAGGTTGGTTTACATTACATTTTTGTTCCAAACGCAGATGTTCTGACCTAGGCTTCCTGAGACTGTACAAAGTCTTTTTATTTCACCTCTTTTTATTTCAACTGCTGTGAATTATGTTCATTCACAGCCCGTAATGAGTCACAAATAGTTTGTAAAGGGTTGCTGGGATTTTTAGCAATTGAGTGCAATTGATTCTTCTTATGGTAGCAATTAATTTACTGTATGTCCTTTTTAACAAAAAAAAGTCTTAAAAGTGAACAACTAAATCAAGTATGGACTCATCTAAATGGTGTGGACAACAACAGCTGAATTACAGCATCAATACAAACAAATTGTAGCTCTGGGAGATTTACATTGAGAAGCCTGTCCTCAGGACAGAGAAATCAGCTCTTCTTCCATATTATTGCCATGGTATGCAATTTCTTTTTAATTTAAAGAATAGCAACAAACTTCTTTAATGAGATTGCGGGGGGGGGGGTCATTTGAGGAAACAGAAAAGAGAGGTTAATCCAGCATCGTTGGAGTGAGCTGTGCTAGTTGCCAAATGTTTGCAGAAAATATTTTAAAAATAGCCAGGATGTTGTTCAGATCAGACTATTTTGGTATCCAACATTAGTGGATAATGAGTCTCACTGTGTAACTGCGGCAGAAATAAGGGCAGAATATTGACACACTTCTCTTGTTTCGTATCTAATGAAGTCAAAATTCGACTTCATGACTGGAAGCTAAATTGGGCAGTTTAGCCTAAATTTGGCATTCTATATTATTTTAAAGCCTGCTCTTGAAAATCAATTTAAATTTAAAAATATGTATTTGCTAAGTATAATTTCAGAATTAGTCAGCAGTTCTACAAATTAGTCTAAGCTTAGATATAACTTGTTCAGATTATCTGTTTGGCATCCAAGAAGTTTATCATTCTGTACTGCTGCAGAAATAAGAGCAGAACTTGAGGAACCGCTCACATTTCCCAGAACTTCTAACCTTGCCTGCAAACTCATTCCTTTCCTTCCGCAAAATTCGTCATTGTTATCAACAGCTTCACCCGAGGTGGGTTGCTACTGGTTTGCACTGGTTCAGGCGAACCAGTAGTGGAATGTTGGCCTGCGTCACAGAACCGGCAGCAGAACCAGGCTATCCACGCCTCCAAACCGGTTCCCTGGCCACCACGGCATATAAGAGAATCTGGATAAACGGTTTCTGTCTGGCCTGTTCCCATTCTCGGAAGCTGAAACAATAGACCCGGACTGGCTAGTCTGTTGGCAAGCCTCATTCACACAAAGTATATAAGAAGGGTAGGTGTGAGCTTCTTCACTCCTGTTCGTAAGCATGAGTTGCCCTGTAACATGCATTTTGTGCCTGCTGGAACAATACGCAGAGACCCGCTTCATGGATTCCTAAGAGGAGCTCAACCCTCTCCTATGTGCAAGAGTCCAAAGCGAAGCATCCTCAAAACGTGCTTGTCTAAACTCCACTTAAATACTTCCAGGGAAGGGAGCCCATTACCTCCTCATCAAACTCCTGTTACCATTCCGATACGTTTTCCTATCAGTAAAAAAAATGACTTACATTATTATGTTCTGCACTCTTTCCAATTAGGAAATGCAGAGGGGGAAAAAAGATTGGAGAGAGAGGGAGGGAGGGAGAGGGGGGGGAGAGAGAGAGCAACCAACCATGAGACTAACATCAGCTCCAATTGGATTTATGTGAAATAAATAAGAAGGCATGAGAAATATCCCAGAAATAATACATTCATCATAATTTAGAAAGAGGATTAAAGTGTCCCTGAGTTCCTACAAATTATATGCACACATCCAGGAATTAGTTATGGCAGTAGCACAATAGGTTAATGTCTTTTGAGAGATTCCTTCCTTCCTTCCTTCCTTCCTTCCTTCCTTCCTTCCTTCCTTCCTTCCTTCCTTCCAGGGTAGTCTCTATTTCTCGTATTCCTTAGAAGATTTCCACTTTATGTGGAATAAGGTCCAACACTGCTTAGCTTTTGGAGATGACTTAAGGGCAGCTAGATGTTCATTTGTCCAACATGGAAGAAAGCAAGTTGAAAGAGGAGGAACATCAAAAGGCTAAAACTCACCAACCTCACCACAGAGATGGTCGCCTGCTGACAGCTTCCCTGCCCACCACCTAAAAAGGCAGTTTTTGAAGTCTTCTGTTGCATGAAAGCATTTCCATGCCAGTAGATGCAGCACTTTTTAACATTCTGCTTCATTCAAATACTATCTCATGACTGCAAAAAACCCAACTTTTCCCCTGTATTTGTCTCTTTAAAATAGTATCTAATTTTCCTTAATCATATTAATCAAAATACTGATTCTGTTTACTGTCTTCTCAGAATTTATAGAAAAGTCTTGTAACATTTTCTGTAATAATAACAAAAGTCTTCTGTATACAAAAAATACTGTTCAAATGTGGTATTTCATTGTGAACTACTCCATTGTAGCAAAGAAAAGTGGTGGTGGCGGGGGGGGGGGACACCTTTCGAAAAACACCGACACAACTTGCCAGATGCCTCTCTGGAAAGTCAACCCTCTACCCTCTTCCCCATGCCTGGGTCTGATGATTCCCTCAGGAGAAATGACTCTAATTACTAGGAACAAAATATTTTATTGGAATAAAGGCAGTAAAGAAAGAATTTGAGACCAAAATCTGCATAACAAAGCTAGCAAACATCCTGAGCAAAGACAGAGAGACTGAGAATTTAGAGCAAAAATAAGGCACTCATAATTGAGCAAGAGCAGAGTCTTTTTAGAGAATATCTGGTTCATCTGAATCTTTTCCCCTTCTTGATTCAAATTCGTCTGAAGGCTTTTCAGCGCTGTGCCAGAATACCTAGATTCAGTCAGAGAAGTCCATTTATCTGGAACACTTCCACTTCCAAGCCCCACAGAAGGAGGCAAGAGCCCTACTTCTAGAACAGTACTTTCCAATCTTGGGAATTTCCAGAAGTGTGAACCTCGGCTCCCACTATTTCACAGCCAGAATGACCATTGCTGAGATTTCTGGAAGTTGAAGTTCACACTCCTGGAAATTTGCAAAGTTGGGAAACAACGTGCATATTCAGGGATGGGCTTCAAAAGTTCCAGCAAAGGGTTCGTTGCTGGGTGGGCGTGGCCATGGTGCACATGGCCTTATCAGCGTCTTGCATCACAGTGTAGTGGGGGGGGGCATTTTTTGCCCTCCCCAGGATCAGGAGGCTTTCATCAAGGCTCCAGAAGGACAAAAACCGCTTCCCCTGGGCTCCAGAGGCCCTCCGGAGGCCGGAAACAGACCCATTTCTGGACTTCTAGAACCTCCAGTAGGCCCGTTTTTCATGCTCCCCGAGCCTCCACACAGGCACTCCACTTAGCTTGCATGATGAACGGGCCACATGGAGACTCTTGAGAGGGGAGGGGAGAGGAGGGGAGGGAGGGGAGGGGTGGGGTGGACAGAACCAGCCAGGGATGGTGTTTGGGGGTTACTGGGCAGAATCCTAGCTAGAGGATTGCCCAAACCTGTGCGAATCACCAGCAGCCCCAGAAGGCCATTCATAAAGGATAAGCAGGTTATTCTGCTGATCTGGTATGCTGAAGATCCATGACGAGACCATTTTTCCAACTCTGTGTACGTATTTAATTATGTTAGAACAACTGAATAATAAATCACCTCCCTTAAAAGTAAAGATGTTCTTCAATATCGGGCACAGTCCATTCCCTTCCTACATGTGTTCCAGATTAAAGTGATTGTGCGGGTTCTCCTCCTTCTCCTCTGCAGCTTGGCCTCAGCTGGGAAAACAAGCCGAAAGGAAAGAGCAGTTCAATCCATTTCTCTTTCTGCAAACTTCTCTCACACACCCGGCCACATCTATCCTGCGGCTCTGTTTAGAAATTGTGGGGGAAATCATCCGATTTCTGTAGGCCATCCTCTTGGCCTTCTTTGAAAAGCATTTTCTTCTTGTGATTGGGGTTGCATCCAACTTCATGAATGATTAAGTCAAATTAACGAATAAATATTTTTTCCCTAACAAGCATCCTTGTGTATATTTTTTTTTATCTTTTCTCTCCAATACACATTTGATGCATTTCTTTTTAATTTGCCAACTGATTTGCTGAATATCTAAAAAGTATGAACTGACTTTGGGGATCTTCTAGATATTTGGCAGATAGGAAAAGTTTTGAGGTAAATGGTGGTAAAAGAATATACAAAGCACTTTCCAATTCTGGTTTCCTGCAACGGTCTCCTGTGGACAGAGCCTGTTACAATACAGGTGGTCCTCGACTTACAACCCTTCACTTAATGGCTGTTTGAAGTTACAATGGCACTAAAAAAGTGACTTATGACCATTTCCCACGCTTATGACTTTAGCAACATCCTCACGGTCACCTCATTGACATTCGGATGAGGCTTGACAGCTGACTGACATTTACGATGGTTGCAGGGTCCTGGAGTCACGCCATCCCCTTTTGCCGCCTTCAGTGGGCAAAGTCAATGGGGAAGCCACTTAACAATTGGGTCATTAATTTAACAACTGCAGTAATTCACTTAACAAATGTGGCAAGAAAAGTAAAATGGGGAAAAACTCACTTAACAAATTTGTCACTTAGCAGCATAAACCTTGGGCTCAATTATGGTCATAGGTTGGGGGCTACCTGTACGCTTCACTCGTGTGTAAAAGTGTTAGAATCCTGTCAAATTTAGAGAGAGAGAAAAGGAAGGAAGGAAGGAAGGAAGGAAGGAAGGAAGGAAGGAAGGAAGGAAGGAAGGAGATGGAGAAAAGAAGGAAGGCGGGAGGGAAGGAAGGAAGGAAGGAAGGAGGAGAAAAAAAGGAGGGGGGAAGGAAGGAAGGAGATAGAGAAAAGAAGGAAGGCGGGAGGGAGGGAAGGAAGGAGGAAGGAAGGAGGGGGGAAGGAAGGAAGGAGATGGAGAAAAGAAGGAAGGCGGGAGGGAAGGAAGGAAGGAAAGAGGAGAAAAGAAGGAGGGGGGAAGGAAGGAGATGGAGAAAAGAAGGAAGGAGGGAGGGAAGGAAGAAGAAGGAGAAAAGAAGGAGGGAAGGAGGGAAGGAAGGAGGGAGGGAAGGAGATGGAGAAAAGAAGGAGGGATGGAGGGGGGAAGGAAGAAAGGCCACAGGTGTCTGACTTCAATTTTTATTACACCATGCCCAGAGTCTTAAACTTCCCTGCCTACAACATATCTGTGGAATCTATTTCTTGATTATTAGAGGAGACTATTAAAATTCAGTCTGCAGGAGGGCAATTGTTTGCATGAATGATTAAATCACCCTCCTGGAATAAAACTGTTACTTGCCAGAGCTGAAGTCTAGGTAATGGCAGCTGAGGGAGGGTTCAAGCCTGCAGCCTCCCTAATAGAGAGCGCTGGGTAGCAATCAAGGGGAAATGCCTGGTACGAGAAATTTTGAGTGACCGATTGATTCTTAATCACAACAGTCCGCCGGCCACGTAATGATGCTATAAGTGGAGTCTGCATTTAGCACACAGAGCAAGGCTTGCAACTTTGGGGGGGGGGGACCCAATCTGGCCCCAAGGATTACACTGCCATCTGATTTGGAAGGGCTTGCATCATTTATTCTCCACTTCAGCGCAGCTCCTTGTAGCAATGGATGAGGGAACAGAAGGAGGATTGTTGTATAAGGGCAATTCGATTCTTGTTCTAGAGGAACTGATTAATCTTTCATGACAAAATACAGACCCAAATCCTGCTGAAGGCAAACAACGGCGTAAAGTACAAATCCTAACGGATCCTAAATTATACTATTATCGTACAATTAACTTTGCAAAATTGCAGTGGGCGCAGGATGGTTTGTCAAGCATGCGGGAACATCATCGGGAAGAGAAGTGGAATCGTTCTTGGTGAGTGTCTGCCTAGCAGGGAAAGCTCCAGCCAAACAACGAGCAGAGCCTACCGTGTACACGTTGTGTAGAGCACGTCCAGGATTCCAACTTCGGCACCTACAGTCCAAGGGTCTCGGTCAGCAAGGCTGGAAACAAAAGTGCTTCATCAAGTTCTTGACAAGGCCAAGCCTGTCGAGGAATCAGCTGATGTTCAAGCAGGCAGAATCCTAGCTAGCCTTCTTCTGTAGAAGAGCCATTTCACAGCAGAATTAGTTGGCCCTAATCAAAGCCAAGGTTTGTGAGATCAGGCACCTGGAGCTAACGAGAGAAATAACGGGACAGGGTAGGTCCTTTCAATCATTCACACCAAGAGCAGGTGTGCTCCAAAGCAGATGGGGGGGACATATACAGGAGACCATTAGAAGACAACAACATTGCAGCCTCAGAAGGAAGGAATGTTCTAGAGCCGTGATGGCGAACCTATAGCATGCATGCTACAGGTGGAATGCAGAGACCTCTCTGTGGGGACACCAGTTGTCACTCTAACCCAGCTCCACCGCACATGTGCACGCACCTCCCACTGGCCAGCTGGTCTTTGGGTCTCGCATTGCATTTTGCAGTTGCGCGTGTGCATTCGCACAGGTGCAGGCACGCTTTGGGCAGTCGGCACAAAGAAGGTTAGCATCCCTGTTCTAGAGTCTCTTTAACAGCTGTCCCACTTAACCAAAAGACCTCCCTTCGAGAGAAACCTTTTAAGCAACCTGTGAGAAGGTTTTCTGATTGTCCCTCCCCAGTTTTCGGACAAGAGGTTTTTTAGCTGTTTTCAGAGGAAGCAGGGATGGGATTTGTTTCAGTCTGAAAAAAGTTAATCAGGAAAGAGTAGAGACCAGAATGTGGTACTGGTGTGGAGGATGAATTGCAAGTGGGTTGGTGGCTCTCCATGTAGAGGGATAACTGCCGAAGAGCAACAGCAATAGCACTTACGCTTATATCCCGCATCACGGTGCTTTACAGCCCTCTCTAAGCAGTTTGCAGAGTCAGCCTCTTGCCCCCAACAATCTTGGTCCTCATTTTACTGACCTCGGAAGGATGGAAAGCTGAGTCAACCTTGAGCTGATCAGAATCGAACTGCTGGCAGCCGGCAGTTAGCAGAAGTAGCCTGCAGTACTACTGCATTCTTACCATGCACCACCAAGGCTCATTAGAGCAGATGGTTACGGCACACTTTCACTGCTGGAAAAGGGGAGATTTTATGCTTCAGTCAGTGCTATTGAATGGAAAGAGGAGAACTAAGAGATACAGCAGAAATACTCCTTCAAGGAAGAAATGTCATCCATTTCAAAGGAACCCTAACAATAAAATGTATTGTCAGCATTTTTATTATCATTGTACCTCTTTCAACTCAGGCGTTAGTCTGTCAAAAAAAGACCAAGGAAGGGAAGAGAATAATGTGTATTTTCAGATAATTGGCCAAGAAGAACTAATAATTATATACTAGAGATTTTGAAGGAGGTGGGCTTCTGTTATTTTTTTTCCTAATAGAAAGAGCACAATGCCTACAGAGAACTCAACAGCCTGGGCAAACATTCCTGTAGATCTGTAAAATTTCCTTGGAACAGAGATCAACTGCTAATTTGACTCAAGATCAACTTACAGACACAGGTAGGTAAATAGTTTTCCTAGCAAAATGAAGTGATTTGCCATTTGCCTTGAGATTTCCCAGTATTTCTCCATCCAAGAGAGACCCAACATTTCAAAATGGCAGAATTATTGTTGCCAATAAAATGTAAAACAGTCTACTCTTCTGGATAGATAGAAACGTGCTGGTTGGATCACAGCCACAGCATATTAGCAGAAGAGCAGAAAAGTAGCATGGATAGGGACCAGATCTACAGAGAACCCCCAAGGACGCCTGCAGAATGCATGTTCCAGTTAATTTCCCCAGAGATAACATTATATGCTAGACAGGGTCCCCAGTTCCTTTATTTGAGAAAAGAACTTTGAATAAATATCCTCCCACAGAAGCTCCCAGCATAAAGGAAAAGGTAAATTTCTTAAAGGGCAAATTCTGTTATTTGGCTGCACAATGGAAAGAGGAGCTGAACAGGAGGCAGATGTGATTAACAAATTTGTTGAAGTGGAAAAGAAAAGGTGAGTCACTGCATGGCTTCATCTCCTGTCATAATTAAAGAAAACAAAAGTGTTGGGTGGGTGAAGCACAGAATCCCTGAAAAAATGTCTGTAAGAGAGAGGGGGGAGGGGGAGGTGGGAGGGGGAGGGGAGGGGGGAGTATGAGATCCAAATAGCAAGACTTTTCCAAAGAAAATGCACCACTCCTGAGTTTTCAGAGACAATGGATTTTTGGAATTTAAACTGAGAGACCGTTCCCACCAAAAACAATCATAAATGGAAACAAAATGAAGTGGTCAAGGGACGTCAGAGCTCTGAGAGAGGAGAAAGGTGGCCAACTCAGTTAAAGGGAAACGGGGTTTTTAGATGAGAGCCAAGTGACAGTAACTTTTGGGCCTACACCCTCTGTCCGAGAGCCAAGCTGTCAACAATGGGGCAAAGCTGGGGCCCTTGGTTGAAAGTTAGAGGTGACTTGATTGACCAGTAGACTTTGGGAATAAAAGCAAGGGGAGGAGAATCCCAAGACGCTTTTCAGAAACATTTCATCTAAGAAGATATGATCCTCCAGAAACCTTATGCCAGTCAGAGGAGATGAATGACGGACACAGTAGTTTAACTCCCAAATAGGACAAGTCTTTCTGTCCTATACTGCCACCCCGTCATAAACGTAATACATCTTAAGTTTTAATGTTCTCCTTGGACAAACTGAATCAGGCAAAATTGAAATCTCTTCCTACCCCATACAGGTTGGTTCTTCAAAAACATGGTGTCAGGTGCTTTCATGTGTTCATTGGGACAGTTGCAAAAGGCAGTGTGGCTACTGGGATTTCTTAGAGAATTCCCAAAAGCTGAAGTGCAGCTGTCAATAGTATTTTATTGGCCATCAAAGAGCTGAGACTGTATCCTAAAACTGACCTTTTCCTTTCTCTAAAACAGGGGCATCCAACCGTGGTGACTTCAAGACTTGTGGACTTCAATTCCCAGAATTCTAGGAGTTGAAGTCCACAAGTCCTAAAGTCCCCAAGGTTGGATACCCCTACTCTGAACCACACCTCATTGTGTATAGCACAATGACAGCCCTTCTACAAAATCCGATTCACATTTAGCTGGAGAGAGAAAAAGAGAAGGAGGGATGCCATTGTGCAGTTCCCAATGTTAGTCAACTATTAAACAACATTAAACAAAATAATTATTTACATTAAATCTGAGACCATGCACACGATCACCTTCTTCAAATGATACGAGATGGATCATTTTCTAAAGAACAAGACAGAGAATCCTGATGTGAATTAGGTTTCCTGTCCTCTTATCGAATTGCACACCACGCAGCCAGGACCTCTCTCAACATTTTCCACTCCAATTCCTTTGCCTCTCCAAAACCCACCTTCTTGAGTGGCATCAGGCAGGGCAGAAGAAGCTGAGGCAGAACGAAAGAGGCTCTCTGGCTCTGCTTTTCTGCTTGCATAAGACAATCCTGAATCCGAGCCAGCAAATATTTCTTTCTCGCAAGTCATTTTACATCAATCAAGTATGTTCATTACACCAGCTGTTTGATGGTTGGAGACGGCACTTGACATATTTGGGGTTACTCAATAGGTAAGGGAAGAATGCAGAATGATGGCACTAGCTTTATTTATTTTTTGGGAGGGGGCGGAGGAAAGTGATTAAGCAAGTTTTTTTTTTAAACTATTGAACCTAAGCAAAAGTTTTCATTAGAGTTTGTGATTGTTCTTTTTCATTTCCAAACCCCAGGAAAATCTGCAGCAACTAATTTGCAGCAACTATGATCAGTGAGTCTTGAAGACCACAATGTCAGCGAGCCCACATGCGACTGGAGTCTTCTGCTTCCAAACTCTTGCATAAATACATGAGTCATAGACCTCATATAGATACCATACAGCCTTCCTTTAATTTGGTGTCGGGGTGTCAGGACCCAAAAAAACAGGTTCAATGTGAAAATTCAATTAAACTGATTTATTGTTATAGCCTATGCCCGTGATGGCAAACTATGGCGCATGTGCCCAAAGTGGCAGGCAGAACCATGTCACCTGGCATGTGTGGCATTGCCCGTTCCTCTTTCGGGTTGCTGGCGTGCATGCACATGTGACAGTCAGCTGACCTTCGTACATGTGGCAGTGCCAGACACTGGAAGAGCTGGACTTCCATTTTCCAGTGTGAGCATGCGTGCCAGCCAGCTGACTGTCATGCACGCATGCGCACTAGTAATTGGAAGACTAGCTGGCTGGCGTGCATGTGCATTCCGGAAGCCATAAGTTCATTTTCCGTTGTGTGCATGTTCCCTGGGCAGCTCCTATTCCAGGTGGCCTCCCAGATGAGTGCACACTCGCTTTTCGGCACTCAGTGCTAAAAAGGTTTGCCATCACTGGAATCTTCTCAACCAGTGGTCAGCACCTTAGAGTTAGCTAAGGGTCATTGGGACTCCAGAGAGGTTGGACTCAATTTGGTTGTGGCAATGGAAGGATTCTAAGGTGATTCCTCTTTGCACTCCACTCCAGAGGTGTATTCAGACGGTTCGGACCAGTTCACCTGAACCAGTAGTGGAAATCACGGGTGGGGCTGGTGTGGCTGCCCACCCACCCTGGCTCTATGGTCTCCTATTTAGGCACGTTTTCAAGCCATGTGCACGTGTGCAAGCCGCACGTGCGATCAAAGCACATGCGTGGAAGACACACACATTGCAAACTGGTAGGGAAAATAGGTGAATATCACCACCGCTCCGTTCCTAGGTGCTGCCATTCTTTCTCCTCTAGGGGAGGGTTTTTTTTTGTGATTCCCAACATCTGCTGAGAATGGCTGTCAGCAGTTGGAGTTCCCATGTTGGCTTTCTTGAGCGCCTTCCTTTTGGCTGCCCCGAGTTTTCTACATTT